GGGGTGTATATTCATTTATGCACATGCTTGCAAGCAACACGCGTGATGTTGTTCTTACAATCTAATTGCGTGATATTAATCTGATATCAATTGATGCATTATGATGCAACACACGCAACAGACCTTTATATGACATGATTTTAATGCTATACTTTATGAACTATGAAGTCACGACTGAGGAACGCTGTACCTATTTAGTGAAAACAATAATAATCTGATTAAAAAGGTGTCATACTGTCTTATGACCCAAATAACTCTGAACTTAATAGAGATTCCGTGTTTAATCAATTATTTAATTACATATTATATTTGAACTGATATGATATTGTATTATACCTACCGCTAAAATAATGAATTATCACTTTTGCATTTATTCGTGTCTAATGAGATATCGCGATGTTGAAATAATCATTTAACCAGTCGGTAGTTAAGTTTTAGCTGTAACTGTTGTACTAGTTTTACAACAGTAAAGAATCACGATAAACAAAATTAATTAAATTTAATAATAATCACAATACCTAATCATAATGGGTAATTATTATAAATTAAATCCAATACCTGCAGCCACCTATACCTATTGTTTAATCGATCTGAACAAACTCTGATTTCGAAATCGACAAATATTGTGCAGTATTAATAATCGTGCCAGCGGAATGTGTTTACAAAGTATATTATACAGTCGCGTCTAATCTCGAAATTATCTTACGAACTTTCCGAAAACAAATGCACGCGAAACGTACATAATCGAGTTCTCTTTCAGTGTGTTTGCACATATAATAACAAGCGTATTTACATTAAATTTGAGCTGTGTGTAATCAAAGAGGTGCGAACGCGTATATACGTACTGTTAAACAAAGGTTGGTTTTACTCAGAATATTAAACTTTTGGCTGGTTTTATTTGCAAAAGGGGCATTGGGTGTACACACACACACACACACACACACACACACACACACACACACACACACACACACACACACACACACACACACACACACACTGTGCACGAAGGTAACCGACTGTGGCGGTAAAATAACATCAGTGTTGTCCATGTCCAATGAGTGAATTATATTTCAAACGTTTCCGGTCGGAAATATAGCGTGGAGAAAGGTCCTCCCGCGTGTCATTGTTAGTGAAATGTTCAAAGATAATGTTGATGATAATTATTGACCGTATAGTGTGATAGGGGACGTGGTAGGTTTAAAATAATTCATATGATATGATATTATTATTATCATTATACTTTTAGCCCAAGATATTCGTGTGACGCGTGCATCGTGTCCCGTACGAATAAACGACAACATCGTCGAAAATCGATGTTCAAGATTTTTGGCGTATACCCTATCGCTTTTTAAAAGGACGAACAATATAAACAGTTGTTAAGGTACTTTTTTTTTCTCTCATTTCCTTTGACAAGGGAATCCAATATTTACTAATCTAAAGGTATACCGGTAGTAAATTCATTTGTATTCAATGGTTCCGCCAGTATATTTTATTTTGCACGGCCCACAATCACTCCGCTACACCACTGCAACGTCTCGTATTCATCGGATTGAAAACGATCGGTTTTAGGTTTTCGTGAAATCCCCGTGAAACCTTTTCATTCCGTGTGTAAACGTACCAACGAATCCTTTGGATTCGGTATTCATCCACGACTGTTACGACGACAGGAGAGTAATTGAGTTGACAGCGAAATCCCCGGTAAAATGTTTGAATTGACGGGGCCATAATAAAATGCAGGCAGTTATTGGTAAAGGAGAAAAACGAAAGTCAAAACAAATTAACCTGACTGATTCAAAGTGCTGAAACCACATATTATCAGACTGCATCCTGTCCGATTGAACTGAACGGTATACAAGCAAAGAAACAATTATCGTGTACACTTAAAAATACGTCTTAATTAAACGGTTATAATTTAAAAATACTTATTGACATTAAATCATTTACATTTTTCGTTTGGGCATAAAATGCATGAAGAGTGTAAATGTGTTAATATAGATAAGATAAAAGTCCTTCGATTGCTGTGAAAAATTCTAGACAACTCGAAAATAAACTAACGAAAAAACTTTATTACTTCATTTAATACTAGGAGTATATTATGAAAAAAAAAACAAAAGTGGAACAGCCAAAATAAACCAATTAGTGTAATTAAAAAATAATAATAACTGCTGCACAGAAAAAATATAATTGGTAATAAATCCGATTAGTGACGCGAAAACTGTTTTGATCAATGTGCTATTTTGAACTCGGTTTTTTGCTCAAGTCGAAGTAATACACGTACACATCCTGCCTATGGCCTGTGGGTGATTTTGTTCCTCACTACTGTCTTACTTCTCGTGCATCTTTGGAATACGGTCCGCCACATTAATGCTTACACGTCGGGTGCGTTTAAAAATTAAAACAAACAAACGGACGGACACGAAGCACCGTGCGGGTAATGTGCATCCCGCGACCAACCATGCGGCGTTGTGGCAGGGTGTGAACCGTGGAGGGAGGGAGTAATAAGGCAAGTGAGTGGAAACGTAAGACCGTTCACGAGTGCGCACCACATAAATCCTCGCAAGGAACACAAACGCAAACCACAAACTCCATCAGTGGCTCGCGCCCGCGCTCGTTCACAAGGGGAATAATTTGAATTAGTCTCTTAGGGCGCCTAATAATTGATGAACGGGAGGAGCCAATTAGAAGTAAATTCGTCGAAATTTCGTAGGAACCAACCCCGTATCGTGTGCGCATAGTGGAGTGGACCGTTGCGTACGATTTATTCGGTACCTACGCGACCCGTCGCACAGAGGGCTTAATCAACCGTTTTACGTGTTCAGCCCGCGTCTTCGGGCGCGGACAATCTAAATATTTTAATGCGGTTCGCGATGCCGTTACAGTGTACATAATTTCTCATAGTCTCCACGGGCGAGCGACAACCGACGGTGTGCCTCTTTATTGTATGTGGGTTCTAGGACGTGGCCATCAAAGGCCGAATAGGGGTCGTCGGTGTGTCACGCGAATACCTCGTTACCGTTTAATAAAACATAAATAAATATCCTCGACGACGGCGACGACCATGACGACGGCGGGGAGGAATATTGATCTATAAAAACTAATAACTGCAGCGAGGGAAGGCCATGCTATCGTATTATGATAGTGTAGCGGCGGAGTGCTGTCCTATAACTAACCTACTCAGTTATTCTTCTAAATAATAATAAGCTGGGACGTTTATGCATACATAATATATAATATATATATATATATATATATGTATTGTATTGAGGTCGCCAGTGGTCTAAAGGTGGCTTTCAATGCTTTCATTTGCGTCGTCCTTATTTCCTGCCAACCATTGGTCAAACTCATGATATATTCATATTCTGCGTCTGAATTTTCGAAAAGCATACACATACACACACAGACACAGACACAGACACGCACAGACACAGACACACACACACTCACACACACGTGTACACACACACACACACACACACACACACACACACACACACACACACACACACACACACACACACTTGTTTAGCCGTCCCACAACCTGACCCTTCTCCCTACTTCCATATTCTTCGTTTCCTTTCGGCTACCCTTTCACAACCTCTCTCTACCGTCCCTCCTCGCCGACCACAAATAACCCACGTCCAAAAATGGTCGGACATCTACTATTCGTCGTGTCGTGGTGGTGGTGGTGGGGGTCGTCGTCGTCGTCGTCACGAATACCAAGTATCCGGGGGGTGTACGAGGAATTTTAGAAAATGCATTAGTCTCTCTTGAAGACCGGTACTATAATATATCAATAAACAACGCTATGTACTATGCCTCAGAGTAAAAATATAAAATACAATTTTAAATATTGCCCTTTTTTTAGTCCCCAGAGAACCGTCAAAAGTTTTACATCCACTTAGTTTTTTATGTATTATAGTATAGAAATGGTATAAACGGTTTTTAAATTGTTGATATACTAATTTAATTTCATATAATTTATACAATTATTGTCAAAATTTAAATTCGAGTAATCTGATTGCACTGAAGCTCACTATAACGTAGGTTAGTTATTAACTAATTGTTTAGGTAGTATAAAGTTTCGTATTCGCTGATAAAATATTGTTTCCTCTTAAACACCTATTATGTAAATATCATTATACTAGGTTTCCCTCTCTCTTACTTAACCGATGGCTGCCTGTTTAGAAATTACTCGGCAGCCCATAAATTCTACCTTCCCTCGCGATCGTTCCGTTTCGATGTAATAATTATAGTTTACTACTTAAAACAAAGCTTTAGAGTACAATGAGGTGTGTAACCCCGTGAAATTTATTATAACGCGTTTCAGTAAAATTATAAAATATTTGAACAAACACTTTTGTCCATTGCGCTATCTATATCTCGCAATAGATATAGATATAGACTCTTTAGTTTATTAGAAATGTTTTTTTTAAAGAAAAACACTTTATTTCACGGAATCGGTAAAAAAGTAAAAACTGCATTACATTATAATAAAGATAGAAAAAAAATAACTCACGACGATTTAAGATAAAACACCATCGAGGTATTATTGTTAATAATAAATGAAAAAACTTAATTGTACACAAAAAGAAAATAAAGTGACTATAAGGTTGTACATGGACAATTTTATATAATATCATTATTTCAAGAACGGCGGCGGCCCGGAATGGTCGACTGACGATAATTATTTACTTATTAGTTATTAGTTATTATTATAATCTTATTAGACCACGGTATTTTCATTTGGGTGCATATTATAATATAAAAACCGAACAGTAGGCGTTACAAAAACCACCAGGGCCGGAGACCGAAATAAAAAATATAACCTTCAAAATAAGATTCCACGTCTACACTGACTACACTCGTCTGCAGTGGAGGGTGAATAAAAAATTCGATCCAAAAGCCAAAAAAAGATAAACTAAAAAAACAAAGACTAAAATGAGTGAACTCCGTGTACGATCTGAGTGACATAATAATATATCATAATAAAATAGTACCTGTTGCCGTTCAAAGTGGTCAGAGCTGTGGCGGCTGCGGCGGCGGCGGCGGCGATCCTGTTGGCGTTGCCGTCGACGTTCTGGACCTGCGTGGGAGACAGTTTGGCGGCCAACGCGTTCAGCGTGTGTAACATCTCGACCGGGTTCCGGGACGCTGGCCAATCGGGTCGCATGAGCGCGACGTCGGGGTGTACTGAGAATCGGAGTCGCGGCGTTGGACGGTCGGACGGACACGACTTTGACGACTGTCTCGCGAGAGCTAAACGGACACGAAACTCTCTAAAACCACGATACTCTGTAGTACACGAATCGGACACTAGCTGAGAATTAGATATTTAGCCGAGATCGATGAGCCGCGAGATTCGCAGATTTTTAAAACGATGACGACGACGCCGACTACAAAGATTTAGAATAAAGCACGACGACAAACGTTTAGTTTTCGAACACCATAGCCTTCGACGGCTGAGCGGCGGCGAACAAGACGAAGAAGAATGAGGAGGCGATGACGAAGTTGACGACGAAGGTGTTACGCTCAAGCACTTTTCAAGGCGTCCTGTTGAGAAAACAAAAAAACAATTGTTGTAAAACTAGTCAAGAAAAAAACGTACTAGACTCGATTGTAACATTATTATCATTATTTATTATGATGTTTACTATATATCAAGTGAACCAAAAGCTGACGCAAATTTTTCCCATGTACTATAAACTAGACATTGACGTTTAAAGCTATAATATTATTATACGAGGACCATGTATGCATGATAATATGTACAAATACATTTTTGCCAGTAACTGTCAAACGGATAGCTAATTTCGCGACCGAAGAATAAAAAAACCATAACAATAAAATAAAACAATATTACGTTTTTATAGAGAGCCTGCAGCGTATGATGCGTTGCATATGTTATAAAATACCAAAGTGCGCGCCACCAAAACTATATTATGATATTATTAAGTACACGATAACAGTAACAATATACCGTACGACCACAGAGGGGACTGTCTACGACCTACGTGCCTGCGTCATCACGACGACGGAATGAGAGGGCCTCGGAACACATGAGGCAGGGACAGGGTTAAAACCATCAGATTTAGAGTCTGATAACTGTAAACGTGGTCAAAGTAAAAAAAAAAAAAAAATGATGTCCCAATAGTAAAGTTTTATTGCTTTTGATTTTATTGCATACGCGAGATCCCCCGAGGACTTACAGCGGACCGGCGGATGAGGCACACTCGAGGTATTTATTTTTTTTCATTTTTTTTCCGCTTTTCCAGGGGAGGACGCACGGGGACTTTATTATTTGTTTGTTCGCTTATTTATTTATTTATTTGTGTGCGCCCAATTTTTATCGTCACCACCTCACCATAGTCGCGAGTTTTCCTCCTCGTTTTCACGACGATAAAAATGAAATAATGACGAATAAATACAAGTCCTGCAGGACCTAATAATATTTCCTTCGCCGCCGCCGTAACCGATGCCATGCATCCTTGTATATGTCTGCACGCGCGAGAGTGTGTGTGGCTGGCACATATAATAATATATACAGCAATTTATTCGCATATATAATATATTGTCGGATCGCGATTTTCACGGCTGGGATATTTACGTGCGCTCCAGAGGCGCGTCGTATTTCAATATATGAAAAAATCTTAAAGAATTCAAAGTGTATATATATTTATACACCGTTGGGGAAAAATACGACTGCTACAAAAAATATATATTTTATTATTCCCATTCCTTTGACGCACTATAGCAACCCGCTGCTACTTTTACGTCAATAATATTCCTCTCTCCGTCAAACCGCCACATTTATTATTATTATTTGGCGGCATCCAAATAGGTTAGGTAAAAGTCGTAATACCTAAGGTGCACTGAACGGACAGACGTTCGTTTTAAATACGAGGAGGTCGAGGTGGAATTTCCGTTTAGTTTTTCACGGAACACCGAGGTTTGCAGTGAGACATTTGGGAAATTCTAAAATTGGAAAACATAAAAAGAAAAACACATAAATAGGTACACATATTCCGCACAGCGAGAAAAAAACAATTTCGCCAGTATTTGCAGCAGTCTTGTCATACACGACGTCATGACGTTTTATTTCTCAAATAATAATAATAATATGTAAATATCGAAACGCACAAGGGTTTCTATACGCGTTGAATTCGAGTAATTATTTACAAACAAACCGGAGTGTCATGAAAACGCGTATCTATTCGGATTAATCGCTGTCGCTGTAACCAGCTAGGTATATTCGTTTCGAACATTATTTGTACAATATAATACGTTTTGGAAATTTGTGGCTCGAGAACTGAGTAGTATAGTCATAATAATATAGTCTCAGTAGTCTCACATAAATTGATTCGGTTGATTCCGGGCACGCGGTTTTCTGACGTTTTCCTTTTCACTTTCGGTATTAACTTTAGACGGGAACAACAACAACACAATACGTGACTGTGCGTACATATTGCACATCGACGTCGTTACTGCTGCTGCGTGTAATTCTACGAGCTCACGTGTTCACAAGAAACGGGGGTAGGGGGGGGGGGGGCGCAATGTCCGTCGTCGTTTCTTTCGGTCGGTTTTCTTAAATTATTAAGCCAATTATTGATACGCCGAGAACGCTAGGAATATTCGCGTGAAGTTACGACAATTGCAGTAGGTAGTTCCACTGCAAAGATCTCTTCCACCGTTGACGCACTACTAACTCTAATCGATATTATATATGGAGCAGGAACGCGATTTTTTCCCCCATCGGTCCGTGTTCGGAAAGTCCGCGTTTTCCAAACGACTGGAATTTCAGTCCGCGTGGTAAAAACCACATACCACGTCACATACCGTCGTTGTCGTGGTTCCTCCACCACGACGTTTCCGCTCCGCCCCGCGCCCACACCCGGTCCAACCAGAAAAAGCGGTAAATCCGTGTTTTTTCTTCATCGTCAGACGGGCAAAACGCGGTCGAGTATGCGACACGTTTAGGGTGCAATCAACTTGTCACGCGACAACGGCATTCTTCGGACGTAATTCGGCCTCCGGTTGTGCCCCCTACGACAATTAGGGCGTGCATTCAGGGGGGGAGTCGGCGGTCGACCAACGCGTTTTTGTTTGATCGGCGAAACGAACGCAACCCCCCGACGAACAGTTTAAATCCGCGCGACGGTTCAATGACCATGTCGTCTGCACCAGTGGACGACGAACCTCCAAACGATGTGACCATAAAACCGTTATATATATATGTAGACCCCGATGACGATCGTTGTACAACACTCGCCGATGTGAATAACAGTTACGCTTTTTGATAACAATATGATGTTTCTCGCAAACGCGTTTACATCACTAAAATAAGGGAAGGTGTCTGCACAATATAATATTAATCTTACAGGTATGACATAAATATTATTATACGATTTCGATTCTCTCATCACCGACTGCGATTGCTGCAGCCACGTCGTTTACTCCACTGACGGAGCAGGTGGTTCGGATCAAAATACTCTAATCGTATTGGCTTGGCACAAATTGAGTTTCACCTACCTATTCTCAAAACTTTTAAATCCGCTGACAGACACCATTCGTTAGGTTTAATTGAATAAAAAATTATAAAATCCCGTCATTGCCGTGTCAGTTTGGGTAACGTGTAAAAGTAAAAAAGATTGGCCACAAGAAGTCCGCGATATCTAGCACGCCTCATTTGAAAACTTTTGACATTTAAAAATAGCGTGGATCACGGTTATGTAATTATTTTTTTTTTAAATTCGAGTCACTCGGGAAATCTTTTCATTGTTTAATAATATTCATAAGTACAATAAGTACAAATTATATAGTCGAAAGACTGGTTTCAATTGATTTTTATACACTGTGCAGTTATTTATTTTGTTTTTAAAACGATAAATTTGAATACGACAATAATTTTTCATTACAGGCACTGTTCGAATTTGAAATAAAAATATGTAACGTATAATAGGCTTCATTATGTATTAGTATATGTGTACGTCATATTTTATGAAACGTATAATTTCTCCATTTATCAAAATATAACTATAGGCACCGTACTACCTACTGTTATAACGAAGACGATTGATTTTGTTAATTAAAAACTATCTATATTTACGTGGAAAAACATGTATTCTGTCAGATTAAAAATATACATGTTCTATGTTTTGAACTTTTTTTCATAAAATAAATAATAATGACGGGCTATGCTTAAAAAAAACAAAACTGATAGGTTGATCAAAACAAACTGTGTTCATTATCCGTACGCACATGTTTTTCACCCCTTTCCATTTTACCCCGATTGCAGATGAACCCAGGGGAATATAATTTAGTTCGCATCGTTATTATAGCTCACAATTTAAATCCCAGTTAATTCCATGGAAAATAATAATAATACTATGTTGAAACTCAAGACAATGTGATGATAATATTATAACCTTTGATGATGGTTACAACATTAAAAATATTTTCGTTCTATAATTAATGCTAACTTATATTTCAAGCTGAGTATTGATTAATATTTTTTGAACCGAATTATTAGCTATACTTTATACCATTTCTGAATAGTAAGAAAAAAATATATCATTTTTGGTACATAATTAATTCACAAAAAAAAACTTTCGTAAAATAAAATACATGAAAAGTTTGACATTTGTAAACTGAAATGGTGTATTGGGTATTTTTAAGATGGTCGAATTCCACGTATCAAACCAAATATTGTTATGTAAGACTGCCGGGACGACCAAGTTTGTTCCACATTCCGTACTCGAGCGCATTTTGTTTTATTTATATTTTATATTTTCTTATACAATTTTCAGAGTTATCCGAGTAAGAGTGATAAATCATGTTATGGGTATCCGATTTGAGTTTATTATTATATTTGCCAAAAACAAAAATAGGAAAAGAAATACAAATTTGTACTTTTAAACTTTCGACCTACAGGAGGATATAAATAATTTACAAATGAATAGAGCGAAACAATAAAATTGAAATTCCTTCGGATGGGGGCCATGATTGTCGTGCGATGATAATAACATCGTTATGCCCATTTGGCTGTATTATATATAAAATATTTATATTGCTTTGTTATCGTATAAGTATAACAACAAGTCCGACGCACTCGTGGTCTGTGGGGGGAAAGTCGACCGACGATCTCTGTTTCTGGTCGGACGGATTGAATGGCGTCCACGCACAAACGGCACGCGTGTAAGCACCTTTGGGACTTGAGACCTGCAGAGTGTTGTAAATACGAATAAGAGACGCCGACACGTATTGTCTGAATAGTGTCGGAAAACATTTCAAGAAGCCCATTCGGCCTGTTAAACGGATAACATTTATTATACAAATTTTAAAGGTCAACACAACGCGTGTGTTGCCTTGTTCGAGATGTTGTCGTCCTCTTTTTGCTTCAGTCATTGTTATTTTTGCGTTCCTCGAAATTCGAATGACAGTACGTGTCAGGGTACGTGCGCGCGGGAGTGTGTGGGAATATTAAATTCCATAGGTATACTGCAGCATGTAATGGAAAGAGCAATCGACAAATGGGTCACCGTGTCTAGATAGAT